GCCGCCGGTGACGCAAACCGGAATCCTGGAGTACACGCAATACGCCGTGATCGCAGCCTTATCTCCCTCCTTATCGATGGCGTCCAAGACGTAATCCGGTCGTCGCCAATCGGTACCCAACTCATTTCCCGCCGCCACCTCCGCCCCTGCACCGCGCTCGAATATCTCCTCGCAGTTCGTCGCTTGCACAAAGTCCCTGACGATTTTCACGTCGCACCGCGGATTTATGTCCATCACCCTCGCCGCCATCGCGTCGGTTTTAAACTTCCCAATCGTCCCGAACGTCGCCTCCACCTGCCGATTCACGTTCGTCTCGCACACGGAATCGAGATCTATCAGGGTCAAAGCCCCGACTCCCGTGCGCGCGAGCGCCTCCGCCGCCCAGCTCCCAACTCCTCCGAGACCGACCACGACGACGTGCGCGCGAGCGAGACGCTCGTACTTCTCCGTGCCGTACAGACGTTCCACACCCTCAAACGCGTACGGCGCACTCGCCGTCGAGCACGTAGACGCGTCGTCGTCGGCGTCTGAGCTCGAATGTGCTTTTCGACGACGAAACGTTCTTTGACGAACGAAACGACGACGCACGACGCGATCCCGCGCGCGTTCGAACGGCGCGGCACCGTAGGCGACGTGCGCGCGACGGTCGGTGGCGGCACGCGCGCGAGCGCGCATGCGCGTCGCGAGATGAGACGCGGGGAAGTGGTTGTGGAAAAAGTGAAAAAATTTCATGACACAACAGAGTCGGCGACGAGCAAACGCGTCTATTGGTACTCGGGATCGGAGCGCCGATGACGGTCGGCGCCGGACGGACCGGATCCGCGGTATTGGCCACGGAGCGGACGGACGTCCGTGGGCGTCATCGTGCGTCGAGGGTACCGCTGCGGCTGCGATTTGCCATCGTCCCCGTCCTCGTCGTCCTCCGCAGCCGCCGCGTTGACATCCGGGGCGCGTCGCGAATGTTCACCCGCACGATGAGCGACGACGATGACGTCCGGTCGCTTGTTACAGTACGTGCGCACGGCGGCTCGAATCGAGGACGACACGGCGCGCTCGACGGCACTGAGTTTGGAGTTCACGGGCATGTCCCCGGTGGCCTGTACGGCGGCGACTCGGCACGCCTCGAGAAGACGACCGTCGTCCGTCCACATCCCACGCGACGTCACCCGCGCCTTGGCAGAGATTAAGTCATCCCCAGCATTCGCTATTTCGTAATCGCACACGATCACGCCCTCGACGGCGATGCGCATGCGCTCCTCGATGGCCATGTCCTCGGAAGTGCCGCTTCCAATGCCGCCATCGTTAAACATGGTTTGCAGTCTCGCCTTACCCACGCGATGAAAGTTGCCCAGAGTTCCGTGTTGTTTCTTCTTCGCGAGCGGCGTCACGCCGAGCATTTCTCCGTTACCGATCACCGTCGTGTGCATCACCCCGGACTGGCGCGCGAGCTGCTCATGCGCCTTTAAGAAGGCGTACTCTCCGTGGACGGGCAAAAAATGCTCGGGTTTCAAAAGCTTGATCACCTCGTCCAATTCATCCTTGTATCCGTGCCCCGAGGAGTGTAAAAGGTCGTCTCGACCCATGGCGATCTGTGGACCCTTCTTCGCGATCTCATTCATCATTCGCATCACTCGCTTCTCGTTGCCTGGAATCATCTTTGCCGAGTAGAGCAGCAGATCCGTCGGTTGCAGCGTGAGTAACCTCGAGCTCCCTCTCGACGCGAGCGCGAGCTGGGCGCGATCTTCGCCCTGTGACCCAGTGGTGACGATCAAAAGCTTGCTCGGATCGTGATCGTCGATCTCTTCCGCGGGGATGAGATTGGCGGGATCCAACGGGGCAATGCCGGCGCGTTTCGCCGCCTCGAGGTACGTCGTGAGCGAGAGACCGATGAACGCAATTTTCCGTCCCGTCGCCTCCGCCGCGGCGCGCACACCGTACAAACGGTGGATGTTCGAAGCGAACTGCGTCGTGATGATCCGACCGCTGTGTCCCAGAACCTTTCGCATGATGCCTTCGCTCACTTGCGACTCGCTCACCGTGCGTCCCGGAGACAAGACGTTGGTGCTGTCGCTCATCATGAGCGTCACCCCTTCCTGACCGACGCGCTCCCAGGACGTGCGATCGAAGTGCAAACCGTCCACGGGAGTTTCATCAATCTTCCAATCACCGGTGTGCACGATCGTGCCGTGCTCTGAACGGAAAATCAATCCGCAACAATCCGGAATCGAGTGCGTCACCCGCACGGCTTCCATGTCGAACGGCCCCGCCTGGAAGCGTTCGTTCATGTTGAACACCTTGAATCGATCGTCGTTCCACAACGAATACTCGAGCATGCGTCTCTTGATGAGTTGCATCGTAAATAGACCGGCATAGATCGGCGTCGCCGGATCGAGCGCCGGGATGACCCACGGCAGGGCGCCGATGTGGTCTTCGTGTCCGTGCGTGATGAGAACCGCCTCGATTTTATCCCTCCAACGGTGTAAGAACGAGACGTCCGGCAAAACCTTTTGAATGCCGAGCTCCTCGTGACTATTTTAAAAACAAACGCGCGTCGTCATCGTCAGTCTCTGCACACATCGCGAACGAAAACCCGCGCGCGCGAAGAACGCCATTCGCGAAAAACGCACTCTGGAAACATCAACCCCGCGTCCAAGAGCACCCATCGATCGCCGCTCCCGACGAGCATGCAGTTCATCCCAATCTCCCCTAACCCTCCCAGCGGCAACACCTTCAACGGCGGATCATCGATCAAATCGTTCGCCTCGACCGCCGGAAACGCCTTCTCCGCCGCGTACTCCAGCGTCTGCCCCAAATGTCTCTTCCCATCGCTCTGTATTCGAATCCGCGACTTCCCACCGCGTCCACCTCGAGCGGCGCGTCCACCGCGGCCTCGACCGCGCCCCCGCCCTCCCCCGGGGCTTCGTCCACCGCGCGCGCGGTCGCGTCCGTCGCCGTCGCGCCCACTCGCCGCGACGACCGCCCCGACCACGGCGTCGTCGCCGCGACGTCGCGTCCACGCGCGCGGGGTCCACGCGCGGGCGACGGTCGACATCACCCGTCACGCGCGCACGGAGCCCGTCGACGCGGGCGACGCGCGGGCGTCCGCGGCCGCGGCGCACGCGGCGGGGATCGGCACGGCGGGGAACGACTTTCGGTGGGTCATCACTCATCAGGGGGGGGGTCGTGTATCGTCGAGACGTGAATGCCAAAAGAAAC